ATCATCATCATCATCATCATCATTATCATCATCATCATCATCATCCTCACCATCACCAACACCTTCATTCTAAACATTACTTCAGTTCTGGAAGGAAACAGACAGGAATATAAAAAAAACTAAGGGGAAAACATTCACTACAAAGAAAGGAAAAATAATCCCACGATAAAAGTCTTCTGCAACAAACTAAAATCCTTACAAAAGATTCGTTTTCCAAAGTACACCATGTGCAGACCCGCCCGCACGCCCGCCCGCCCATGCATTGTGCATTGTTCCGTCCTCGTATGAACCCGGGAGAAAAAAATCATTCCAAAGTACAATGGATGGAAGCTATATATATACACACTGGCGCGTCTCTATAGAATTCAAAATCAATGGCGGTTCACCATAGATGAAAAATGAGAGATGGAGAAAATGAAAAATAATAACAAAAATAAGGCAGGGATTTTAGTAACTGCTATGAATAAACGGACATCTCCATTCACATCTCTTGACCCTCCCCCCCCCTCCTCCTTCCTTCTTCCTTACTTCATCATTTCTTTTCTATTCTTATCTATTCCTTATTCCTATATTTCATTCTTTCTCTCTTCCTTTCCTTCAATCTTCTATTCTTCCCCCTTACTATTTTTTTCCATTCTTTTCTTCCTTCTTCCCTTCCCCTCTCTCTCATTCCTTCCTTCAATCCGTCCAAATTATCGCCTTCCTCCCTTCCTTGCTTTCTTTTTTTCACTCTCCTTTCCTACCTCCTTTCTCCCTTCCGCTCCCTTTCCCCTTTCCTACGTCCCTCCTTCCCTCACTCCCTACCTCCTTCCTTCCCTCCTTCCTCTCCCTCCTTCCATGCCTCCCTCCCTCCCTCTTTCCTTCCTTCCCTCCCTCCCTCCCTCCTTCCTTCCCTCCTTCCTCTCCCTCCTTCCATGCCTCCCTCCCTCCCTCCTTCCTTCCCTCCCTCCCTCCCTCCTCCTTCCTCCCTCCCTCCCTCTCCTTCCTTCCCTCCCTCCCTCCTTCCCTCCCTCCCTTTCCTTCCTTCCCTCAACTTCTCCCTCCTTCCTTCTCCCTCCTTCCTCCTCCTTCCCTCCCCTTCTCCCTCCTTCCTTCTCCTTCCCTCCCTCCCACCTCTTACGCTCTCCTTGCATCGGGAGGGACAATGCGTTGACGTTACTTAAAAGCTGTTTCGAGCAACGCAATTTCCCTGAGGGAGGGGAGATGGGGGGAGGGGGAGGGCCGAGGGCGGCGAGAGTCGGGGGAAGGATATGGAAGGGGATGGAAAACGAGGGTAAAAGGAATGGAGAAAAGATAGAAGAAGAGATAGAAGGGAGAGGAGAGGAAGGAAGGGTAATGGGGAAAAAGAATAAAGGAAGGGAGAGAGAAGGAAAGAGATAGAGTAAGAGTGGGGCAAAGGCAAGGAAATTCTGAGGATGTTGAGGAGAAACGGAGTATGAAAGAAAAGAGAAAAAAAAAACATCAAAGAGAAGAGAAAAAATGGATAGAGAAACAAGAATAAAACAAAAGAAGATGAAGAAGAAAAAGAAGAAAAAAAAACAATAATAATAATAAGAAGAAGAAGAAAAAGAAGCAGAAGCAAAAGCAGAAGAAGAAAAAGAAAAAAAAATAACAACAACAACAACAACAACAAACAAAGGGGGGGGGGGGGATGAAAAGGAGAGAGCAGCACCACAATTAGTTCTCCCCCGGGACGCGTGAGAGCTCCGGGGCTGGTTATAAAGTATCTCGAAGACGTTGTTCATTGTGGCCGTTTTTGCGGACGGGGGAATGTCGAAGTCTTCCAGGGGGGGGGGGGGGTGCGCAAAGGGAAGTGCAGCCGGAGAGAAGGATAAAGAGGGGGAGAGAGAATACGAGGAAGGATAAAGATGGGGGTGGGAGCAGGTGTGTGTGTGTGTGTGTGTGTGTGTGTGTGTGTGTGTATGTAGTGTGTGTAGTGTGTGTAGTGTGTGTGTAGTGTGTGTAGTGTGTGTAGTGTGAGTAGTGTGTGTAGTGTGTGTAGTGTGTGTAGTGTGTGTAGTGTGTGTAGTGTGAGTAGTGTGTGTAGTGTGTGTAGTGTGTGTAGTGTGTGTAGTGTGTGTAGTGTGTGTAGTGTGTGTAGTGTGTGCAGTGTGTGTAGTGTGTGTAGTGTGTGTAGTGTGTGTAGTGTGTGTAGTGTGTGTAGTGTGAGTAGTGTGTGTAGTGTGTGTAGTGTGTGTAGTGTGAGTAGTGTGTGTAGTGTAGTAGTGTGTGTAGTGTGTGTAGTGTGAGTAGTGTGTGTAGTGTAGTAGTGTGTGTAGTGTGTGTAGTGTGAGTAGTGTGTGTAGTGTAGTAGTGTGTGTAGTGTGTGTAGTGTAGTAGTGTGTGTAGTGTGTGTAGTGTGAGTAGTGTGTGTAGTGTAGTAGTGTGTGTAGTGTGTGTAGTGTGTGTAGTGTGTGTAGTGTGTGTGCGTGTGTGCACGCGTGTGTGTGTGTCTGTGCAGCATGTGTGTGTCTGTGCAGCATGTGTTTGTACAATGTGTGTGCGTATAGCCGTCCTCTGATTCCCCCCCACGGCTATATCAACCGTTTTCACTCCCAGGAAATTCCCGGGCTTCAAATCCGTTGCGTGCACAGACTCCAGACGCGCTCCTATGCATACTGACGGTTTTGGCAACGTCTTATATCCATACTAAATTCCGGTGAATCAATTACAGTACATGTATTCTCTTGTAGATGGGCGTGTCTCTAGTATGTGGGCGTGTCTAGATTATATTAAACTGGAGTGGTTAAGAGCTCGGACTATTAGATATAGATAGATAGATAAGACATACAAATCGACCCATAGATTGATGTATAAATAGATAATAGATGATTAAACAGACAGATAGACATGCATATATGTTCTTTATCGATATATGTACGTATATATTCAAAAATCCATATATTCCTAGGTTCTTTTAATTACACACACACACATACACACACACACACACATATATATTATATATATGTGTGTGTGTGTATGTGTGTGTATATATACATATATACATACACTCATATAATAACAGCCATATATCTTTGTATTTATCAACATACTTAAACCTATAAACATATACAAAAAAATCATTTAATTTTCTTTTTTTCTCAACTTCAAGTCAATCACCGGCCTATTACTATTATCACTTTCGTTGAACTTGATATATTAATCTATATAAAAAAACGTTCCTCTTCCTCCTCCTCCTCCTCCTCCTAAAAAAAAAAAAAAAAAAAAAAAAAAAAAAAAAAAAAAAAAAAAAAAAATAGAGAGAGGATTTAATTTTGTTTACCGCTAATCCATGCTCGATAATGTGATTTTCATAGGCTATATAATTACCATAAACCCAATATTGATGATGTGTATTAGTCCGTCATAAACAAAATTTTCTTCTGCACTTTTTTTTATAAATATATTAGATGCTTAACTTGAGTTTCACCAAGCACGAAACTTCGCTAACATCTTAAAACGTTTACGGTTCAAGGAGATAGGTTATCACTCAGCCTCGTTATCTCTGGGCAAGCGTGATAAGAATTTAACGATAAGAACTATGATACGATGGCCATCAAGTCCGCTTAAAAAATGTTTCATTAACAAAGATTATTATTTTCTCTGAAGGACGCGAAGCACCTTTCAAACTTCTCAAGAACACGACATTCCATAAACTTGAGTGTGACCACCACGCACAAACACACAACTGTACAAACGGACACTCACGTATGAAGGTCCACACATTCCTACACGAGCACCTGAAGAGAGCACACACGTAAAGGAACACTTGATCTTCATGACATGTATATACACTTAAACACATACACAACCAATCACATACGCGTTCACTCACTCGCTCACAAACCCATTCACTCAGTCACTCATTCACAAACACATCATTTCCTTCATTCCCTCCTCCATTTATTCATTCATTCCTCTCTTTTTACACACAGACGAAGAAAAGCAAAACCACAGGAACGGAACAACCAAACCCATAGCGAACAACAAAAGCAATGAAAACCTCTCAATGACAGAACAAGGAAAGGACTCGAATCCGCAAGAAGTCCCAGCCATGGCGACCAAAAGATGAACAAAGAAACCAAAAGTCAACTGTACCAAAACAACGAACAAATGAAGAACTACAGGCCGAAATGACTCCGACCACCAATGAAGGAATCTTGGAAGGAAATCCTTGAGAACAAAATTACTCTTTTACAATGAGAGAAAATGACACGAACAGAATACATTTCTATATACTATACTTTACATACATACATATAACTATGTTCGTATGTATGTATGTACATACATATATATATATATATATATATATATATATATATATATATATATATATATATATATATAAATAATATATATACATATATGTGTGTATATATGTGTATATATGTGTATACATATACATACAAATACATACATATACATAAATATATAAATATATATATACACATAATATATACATATATATATATAAATATAAATATATATATATATATATATATATATATATATATATATATATATATATATATATATATATATATATATATACATATTTATATATATACATATATACATATTTACATATCTATATATATATATACATATATATACAAAGAGATACATAGAGATACATACATATATCTAAATATATATATATATATGTATATGTATATATATATATATATATATATATATATATATATATATATATATGTATATGTATATATATATATATATATATATATATATATATATATATATATATATATATGTATATGTATATATATATATATATATATATATATATATATATATATATATATATATAAATATACAGACATATAGTTATATATAGTTATAAAGAGAATCCTCCGATAAGTAGAAGAGACGGCCCCCAGCAGAGGTCTCTCGAGAGCCTCCTCGAGGACGGCCTCCACTTGCCCTCAAGGAGCCTTAGGCCCTCCCCCTCCCCCCGAAGGGCACGTCCTTACCTCGGGAGCGAGCTGTTGGCGCCGGGAACCTGCAGGGACGGGTGGGGGGCGGGCGCCTGCGGGCCTCCATCTGGGGCATGGTGGTCGTGGGCGGCGCTCGCGCCCCCGGACCGCGACGGCAGTCCACGCCCAGGGATTCCGGGCTCCTCCTTCACCTCTCCATCAGACTCCTCCTCAGAGCTGCTCGGTTCCAGCATAATGGTGGCGGCGGCGGCGGCGACGGCGGCGAGGACGGCAAGGGCGTGAGCGCAGGAGGGGGCGAGGGGTGGCCGGCGGCGAGAGGCGGGGGCGTGAACGAGGGACGAGGTTCGAGTTTCCTCCTCCTCCTCCCCGCGAGCTGCTTAGAAGGACGCCACGCCTCCCTCCGGGCCTGCTGCACCGCCGCGAC